TTGGTTTTAGCACCCCTTTCTGCAAACTGATGCACAGAGCTGAAGTCCAAGGCTGCGCAAAGGCAGATGGCTAGGGACAAATGTAGGCCATGGATTCCCGTCCGTTGTCATGGACGCTGAGTTTGGACCCTGGTACCTTCTCTTCCATCCTTGAAGCAGCCTGTCAGCCTTGTGTGGGCAGCCTGTGGTTTGCAGTCTCTGCCATTTCAGTAGGGGCAGAGCTTCCAAAGCAGTTGTCTTACACCAAGAAGTCAACTTGAGCAATGCATTCACTTCAGCCTATGGACTCCCAGCACTGCTGAGGCTGGTGGGCACCTCCAGAGATCATCCAGCCCAACCTCTTGCTCACAGCAGGGTCAGCCACAGCAGGCTGCTCAGGGTTGCGTCCTGTCAGGTTCTCAATATCCTCAAGGATGGAGATGCCACAACCTCTCTGTCTTCTTTACTTCCCCATCAGGTATCTACCCACATGGATAAGGTCCCCCTGAGCCTTCTCTTCCCCAGGCGCTCTCAGCCTCTCCTCATATCAAAGATGCTCCAGTCCCTTCATCATCTTTGTGGCCCTGCACAGGACTTGCTCCAGTGTGTCCGTGTCTCTCTCGTAGTGGGGAGACCAGCGCTGGACCCAGCGGTCCAGATACATCTCACCAGTGCTGAACAGAGAGAAAGGACCACCTCCCTCAACCTACTGGTGACCAATCACAACTCTTTGAGCCTGGCACTTCAGCTAGTGCTCACCTCACCATCCACTCATCTAGCCCATACTTCACCAATGAGGATTTTACACAAGACAGTGCTGAAGGTCTTGCTAAAGCTACAATAAGCAACATCCACTGCCCTCCCTTCAACCACCAAGCAAGTAATCTCATTGCAGAAGATCATCCAGCTGATCAAATATTTCTCCTTCACAAATCCATGATGACTAAACCCAAACACCTTCTTGTCCTTAGTATGTCTGGAAATGGTTTCCAGGCTCATCTGCTCCACTACCTTCCTAGGGATGAAGGTGAAGCTGATGAGCTTGTATGTCCCCAGATCCTCCTAAAGTGATATTTGCTTTTCTTCCAGTCCTAAGGAACTTTCTCTGACTGTCTTGTGCTTTTAAATATATTCAAAAGTGGCCTCACGATGACATCAGTCCATGGTATGCCAGATTGTCACATCTAGATAGCTTGGGGAATGCAATATTCCAGCCCAGACTCCTGCCTTTGACAGAACAACCTGCCCAAAGAGTTTGTACTTGTTCCTCAACACTTTTAAACATCTAAGATCTCATAGGACCGTATGACTGTTATTTCTGAATAACGACTGCACTGCGTGACTTGGAACAGCAGTTACAGGAACATGGGGAAGCAGAGGGACACATAGTTGTAAGGAGCTGACACAGAGGATCAGGGACAAGCATCTCCCTTGCGGAGCACGGCTAACTGAACCACCCCATCTCCTGTGCTCTCAATGCAAGGACTGCAACATCAACACTTAAAATAAGTTGCAAAAGCCCTCACCAACCAAGTAGTCATACTGATTAGAAACACATACCACTTGTTTCCCTTACCCTTGTCTCAGGAGCAACTGAGCCATAGCATAAGCAACTTTGTTCACAGCAAAGCCTAGATTGCCTAAGCTGCACCACCACAGCTGAGTAAAGTCTGATTTTTTTTTTTCCCCTCTCAACTGCTCTAGCTTAGTAGGTGAAGTGGATTTAAAACAAACAAAAAAACACCAAAGCCCAAGGGTACTGAATTTAAACTAGACACCCACAATTACATTTTCAGTAGCTAAGTTATAAAAGAAGAAAGATAAAAATAAGATCTCAGAAGTGTGAAGGTTGTCACTGGAATTATTTTTATCTAAAGTGAGTCACAAAGCCTGAGAAGTATGATTTTTTTTTTTCCCTAATACCACTGAAAAAAAACTTAAAAAAAAATCCAACACAAAACCACCACTGCACACCAAAACAATGAGAAAGTTAAAAGCTACACAAAGCTTAATCAAGATCCTGGTTCCTGCAGCATGTCAGAAGCAATAGGCTGTTCTTACACAGAGAGGCATCTTACTAGAAAGGAGTAAACAAAACCCCCTCCTCTTAACACAGAGCAGGAAAGTTGCAGGGACCAGGGAAGCCTATAGGCATTTGACAGTACCGTAAGAGGTCATTATGGAAGCTTTCCTATCCAAATTATAGAATAGTTTGGGTTGTAAGAGACCTTTACAGGCCATCTAGTCTAGCCCCCCTGCCATGAGCAGGGACATCTTCAACTAGATCAGGTTGCTCAGAGCCCCATCCAACCTGACCTGGAATGTTGCCAGGGATGGGGCATCTACCACCTCTCTGGGCAACCTGTGCCAGGGTTTCACCACTCTCATTGCCAAAAATTTCTTCCTTCTATCTAGTCTAAACCTGCCCTCTCTTAGTTTAAAACAATTACCCCTTGTCCTATTGCAACAGGCCCTGCTAAAAAGTCTGTCCTCGTCTTTCTTATAAGCCCCCTGGAAGTGCTGGAAGGCTGCAATAAGGTCTCCCTGGAGCCTTCTCTTCTCCAGGTTGAAAAATCCCAACTCTCTCAGCCTGTCTTCATAGGAGAGGTGTTCCAGCTCTCGGATCATTTTTGTGGCCCTCTTCCTCTGGACCTGCTCCAGCAGGTCCATGTCTTTCCTGTTCTGAGGGCTCCAAAGCTGGATGCAATACTGGCTGAAGCCAAAGTACTAAGAAAGCACATTCCTGAATAGCAGGAAGGGGTACGTAAAGTCTGAACACGGCCTGGAAGAACAGAAGAAAAGCGAGGGAGAAGAAGGGACAGAGACCTTCCACTTGTTGACCAAGACTGCAATTCAGACTTTAACATCACTGCAGTGTACATCTCTATGCGTCTGCTATATGAGTTGGCAGAAATGGTTCACTGGGAGAACAACAGCAATTCTGCATGTATGCAGTAAGTCCTACATTAAAACTCCTGATTTACTTGTACTGATCTCCCCCAAAAGAAATCTACCTCTTCCTACCTACATAAAATAGACTTTAAAAAGATTTTCTTCCGACAAAGCTTTTGGTTTTGTGTGAAAGTTTAATATTCTTAACTGCATAATGACAACAGTATAAAGAATTCAGATTAAAGTTCGGTTTTGTTTTTAAACACAAGGTCGGGGTGTACAGTCAAAGAAAGCTCTGCCATCAACTCAACAGGGACAGAAGCATGTTAAGGGTTGATTAAAGTGCAATTTAGCAGCAGTCCTAAAACATCCATTTCTTTTCCTGCACCTGTTACCCACACTTTCAACAGCACTGGTACCGCCCCACTCCCAAGTCAGGTTCTGTCCGAGTGCCAGATCTCCATGGCTTAAGAGTCCTTCGCTGGACTTTTCATTGCAGTAAAACTGTAAGAGCCATAAGCAAGTCAGTGAGATTGAGATGGCTTGTGGGACCATCACGGGAAGAATGAATCATCTGCCTTGGAAATATAAATGTTTATGATCACTGCTTCTATTCTGCACATATATTCTTGAGACATGCAACTTTTACAAGGGTGTTGATATTTATATAATTCCATATATTTAGATGGTGCATTACAAACACAATATGCAGTTGTAGCTATAAATAGCAGAGCAGTGGGACAGAATTTTCAACTATTTCTTGTTTTCTGTGCACCACAAATGAGATGTATGGCATGAGTTAAGGAACTAGAGGAAAGAAAATACAGTTATTAGGCAACAAAAAAAACCCCATGCGAGTTTCCATATTTTAGATGATGGAATGGAAGGCTAGACTTCTACCAAAGAACAAAAAAATATCAGTCCCTGAGACTTAACTCCAACATTTAGCCATGACTAAAAGAGAGCAGAGAAATCTTCTGAAGTTGAGGTTTTGGTAACAGATTATTTTCATGGCACGTTTTCAGCATCAATGTGACAAACTAACACCTGCCCTTGACAAGAAGGATTCTGACAAACAAATGCACAATGTAATCAAAAGACTAAACCTGTTTCTAAATCTTGGCTGATGCTTCTTTAGTGCTCACAACACTATGGATGTACACACGAATCTATGAAAAAAAAAAATCACTGGATGCTGTAGGAGCGTTATAACAATGTACCAACAAAGACATTCTTCCAGAAGGCCAACTAATAAATTCCCAATTCATATTAAAAAGGGACAAACCAGTAACTCTTTTTAAGCTTTCTAAATTGTAATAATATTCTTAATATTAAGAGTTTGCTTCAAGAGTTAGATTTGTCAGGCAATGACTATAACAGCAGTTAAGGCCTAAGGCTTAATATTGGGTACCTGAGGTCAATCAGCAACCTAGCATTGATGCAAGCAGTTAGTAGTATTGTATCTTTATTTATTTAGTATTTTTAAAAGGCTTCTTGCATCAGTCTGCACCCTTATTTCCATTTCTCTACTCAATTAACAAATTAGTTCAGAGAGGAGGAAACTCCTGGTACAAGCATTACTTTTACAGCCAGGTCAGTTATATCTTCCATTTAATTTCTTCTTTTTATACTGATACATTACATTTACATTGGATATATTCTACCAAATAACAGCTGGGGAAAAATAATGCAGTGACCTAGCATTTCAAAAGTACACTGAAATACTTCTGGACACTCAGATACTCCCAGACATGCCAGACCATGATGTCACATGAGGAAGATCCATCCTACCACAACACTACTTAGCTCTGGTGATGGACTGACACACATTTCGTAATGAGGTAAAACATTCAGAGCTCTGAAGCTCGAAAGTGGGGATCCACACCTACTCTAGGGAAGGTCATACTCTGTGTCACTGCTGCCTTTCTGCCATCGGGAAACACAATTACTCAACATGGATGCTGTTTTCACAAGGAAATGGCCATCTTGGGCAGAACAGAGTAGAAAAGTAGTTTTAACAGCTTTCAATATGTACTTTAATGATTATTTTGTTATACTGATGACTTTCAAAAAGCATCAGTCAGGTAGAAAAGGTGTGCCTTTGCTTTATTGTCCACAAAAGACGACATCTACAGTGCTTCTTCACACTGAATTGATGGGGTTTCCCATGTGTCCTCATCTGCCAAGTGAGCCATCTGTGAAGTCTGATCCACAGGTGCTTTCTCACTCTGGGCTATTAATAATGCATCATCTTCTCCTCCTGCTAACTGAAGGTCAGAGCTACAAGAACAATTAGATTCATCTAGTTTGTCCGTCAAAGACTCTGCTGTAGTTGCAGTTGTAGAGGACTGTTCAGTCTCTGTTTCAGCTTGTGGTTCTGTTTTAAAATGAAGTCCAAACAGGTTATTTCGGATGAGGTATCGAACACACTGCAAAATCACATTCCTTTCGTGTCGGATGTCCTGGGCCAGTAACTGGAAAGAAAGAAAGAAGAGAAGATGATGCACATTCCTCTCTGTTGCTCTGTAGCTGATACAAGCCTAGCAAGATGTACATCTCTACTCAGCAATTCTGAGCATCTCTGAATTTAAATAGTTGGCGCTCTCATATGAGTCCTGGACACACAGAGCAGGAGACTGCCTTACCAGAGACAGAGCAGGAAAGCCACATATTCCCATACTGGGTGCTTTCCCACCGACTGACTGGGGCTTTGGCAGGGCCGGTGAGCGTGTTTGACAGCGCTACCGCACAGCTTGCTGGACTGGGAGATCTAAAGGCTTGCTGTCCCCTCTGCCCTCACACCAGCCCACGCTGATCAGACCCCTTACTGCATTGGTTCAACTTACCAGCCAGGAGAAAACAAACCTGACAATTAGCAGCAAGCAGTGGGGCCTTCTGGGTGGGCTTTGTTGGTTTGTGGTGGTTTTTTTTTTCTGGGGGGTTGTCAAAAACTAACCAGGGTGAGCAAAAGGCCCAGCATAACAGAGAAGAAGAGGTAAGACCAGGTATGCAAAGAAGAGTTGGCAAGTAGGGAGCTGCCCTTCTGGGCAGCAGCAAGCTGCTAGACCAGTGCCGGTTGGTCGTCAAACAACACTTTTACAATGACAGAGGCTCATAATGGCCACGATTCACTATGTTACTCGGACATAACTGTACCACTGAAATGGATGAAAAAAAACCACACATGCCCAAAGTGCACATGCTTAAGCATTACTCATTTAGCCCCATGAATGCACTAGGGCAGGTAGAACAAGTGACAATTCTGACGGAATCTTTTGGATTAAGCTGTCAGTCTCAGTTTCCTCAGGTGGTATAGAACATCACAGAATATACCTATATACCAGGAATTTCCCCCCCAATTATCTGACTGTATACCCAGATTAACACCTCAGGATAGCAAGTCTATTAGCATCTTTTACACTGTCTGGGTTATACTGTATCTGTAATTTAATATGCCATGCATTTTTAATTGGAAAACCCCTCTAAGTAAAAGGTACTTAAAAATACAAGGAAAGGGCATGTTTCAACAGATACCAGACTATGGAATTAAACAGCAGTAACTGGTTTGGGCTATAATCCACCAACCTAAATCTAATAGCTTAATCCAAGTCCTAGAGGCCTCCCTCATCTCCTTTAATCTCACTAAAGTTCTTTTTGGTATTAAAAAAAACCGAAACAAACCACAAACCAGCCAGAATGCTGAAGGACCTTTTGTCATTGTGTCAGCTGAACTAGTACTCTGAACAAACAAGTTTAAAGCAAGTGGCTAAATCTGTAGCTACCTGATCATTTGCAGGAGATCTGTATTACACACCCTAGCTAAATTTGGCTTGTTACATCGCAGAGAAGCTTTGTTGTTGTTATAAGTTTCAACAGTAGTTTAGCCAGCCACTTTAAAGTGTGCATATTTCTATTTAGACTAGTTACCAAGAGGTGTTACAAGCAGCTGACACCTAAAATGGGCCTTCAGAAACCTCCTGTCTGAACTAAGAGAGGCACATTAGGGCAGGGAAGGGAGAGCATAGTGATGTTCTCTTTGCTGGACTGGGAGAAACTGCTGAATTCCCAAATGGCCAAATAGAGGCACAGATGGGATGCACCATCACCCTATCAAAGACTGTATATTTGTTATTACAGTTTTTAATGCAGGGATGGGTATCAGTGGAGTGATGCTACACAGGCTTTTTATTTTGTCAGCATACAGAATAGCTAAACACACATTACTGTTTGCATGGCTACAATAAACACGTTTTAATAGTGCCCAAGCACACTGCCGAATGAGTGCCAACAGACATCTGCAGCTATTCTCCTACCTCCCCTTCTATTTTTTTAAAAGCATAATTTCAGGGATACAACATCTTCTTAGCAATCTCTCTTCCTTACCTTTTGGATAAATTCTCAGCAGCGACTCACTAAAGTTTCAGCTTTGCTTCCTCAAGGTTTTTATACACTGACCATTTCTGACAGCGGAAGCCTACCTGCAAATCTCAGGCACTCCTCCTTGACTCACAGACACAGTACACATCCTTTAACAACAGTTTTGAGCAACATTAAAAGGAAAAAAACCCTACCAAAATACAATTTAAAAAATGGACTATATTGGCAAGCTACAATTCAGGCTTCCAATGTTCTGCCAGCTTCTCTCAGCATGTAGGACTTCATATGACTTTTTTCCAGAGTACTCACTGCTTTGATCACCAGCAACTTTGAAGTACAAGAGATAAAGACAACTGCATGCTTAGGGAGCTACACAAAGGGCAAACACTTCCTTTTCAGTCACTAGGAGTTTCAATTCTTGGCAGCAACGGTAGTACGCACTAAAAGGACTATCAAGGGATTTCTCACACATCTGCAGCTTGGGATGTGGCTTATCAGGTATCTCTTGCCTACATATCCTGTACTGTTTCAGAGCCCTTATGTCAGTCATATTGTTTCTCCTGTGCTCTGCCCACAGCAAGTTTTCCTTTAACAGGGGAACTTTATGCAGGCTATTTACAGAATCACAAGGGTAGTCTACCTATGTGATACTGCTTTTGAGTACTAAATGCAATAAAAGCTTCAAAGTTTCTTTATACTAAAGAAAGTCAGCAAGCTTTCAAATAGGATGCTTTGCATTGCTACTGAGAACAGAATCGTAACACCTTGGACCCACTCCTACAAACCTCTTTTTACCCTTCCGAGACATCAGTCTGCTCTTCAATGTACCACTTCCTCAGACTGGCCTACACACACCTACAGAGAAGAAACCCATGCATGTGCAGATTGCAGCTCAACACCACTCTAGTTTAAGTCACCAACACCCTTATCAACAAGATCTCTTTGCCTGCATCTGATAAAAGTAGTGTACTGAATAGCAAAGCCAGTAAGAAAGGGAGGAAGATCAGAATAAGTCTGATGGGATCACATACAAACAAAACCTACTGGATACTACCACAAGGAGGTGAGAAGGAGGAATACAGGTTTCGTTCTTTGTGCAGCTCATGTTAGGCACATGATTAAGTTGCCATCTCTTCCTCACCAAAGTCAGTCATTATCTGAATGTATATCAGGGTATTTCTATTCATCTATTTAAGCACCTACACTTTCTCCGAGTGAAATGCTCACTTCGCTATTTTAAGACAGGACCTTTGCTAACAGACTGCTCTAACTTCCCACAGGGAAGAGGGCAACCGCTCACAAATAGCGCTACTCTTGTATAGGAGGCATTATTTTAGCACCAAGACTATTACCATTTCCAGCAGAGTTGGACGGCGCTTCAGAAGGACAGGCAATGCTTTCTTGCCCCAGTTATCAGGCCCTCTGGGGGGGCGTGCATTTGAATTTGAGCTTCTTAACGTTGTGCCTGCATATTCTGGACGTTTTTGATTCAGGTTTCGACTCCACGGAACAGAAGTAGTTTGAGGTGTATTTCTGAGCGCAGCCTGGTTTTCCTCAGCTTTTGTTGCAGTCTTGACAGGGATTTCTTAAAGAAAAAGAAGACACTTTCATCTCAAACTTAAAAGCCTCTTTAACATGCTTATATCCCCATGCACTGGCAGTTCATTAGTACTATTCTTGCTCACATAACCTGATGTGAAGATGTTCAAGGTTTACTGGAGGAAGGGAGGATTTTGTTTGGCTTGGGGTTTCTTTTAAAATAAAAGAATAATCTCTAAACATTCACAGAAAAGAAAACAAGATATTTAAATTCTGCAATACAAAAAGAAAAATAGAAACAGTAAGAGTTGAACAAGATTTTCAAACCTCTTCCTTATTATTACCTAGAAAGTACATTGTTTCTGCTTCACAATAGAGCTTGCTGCAAATTTGGCTGCTGATAAAATCATGATACAGTTAGGGCAGAGGATGCCCAAGTTCAATTCCCTGCCTGCTAGATGCTCTCTGTAACTTGGGGTAGGCAAGTTAGACATAGTGACTATCTGCACAAACAAGGAGCAGCAGCAGTTCTCTACCATACATTGATGCATACACTCAGAGAAGCACAAAATCCAAGTACTACAGAGTTCAAGTCTTCCTGCAACACCCAGGGGCCTTCTATGGAAAAAGCCCTTAAGGACATGGAAATTAGTTCACAGGGTGAGCATAAGAGCTTTTTCCTGGCACTATTCAAACATGATTTGAAGCAAGACTGAAGACAGGCTGCTTTTTTTCCCCCAACTAGGGGAAAAAAGGCTTGGGAAATTCAATGACATACACCCTAACCAAAGACATCTTATGCCCCCACTTCAGCCCAGGACATGCTGCTGAGAAAAGGCAAGCAAAGAGGGGAGAAAAAAACCCACTCAATCTTTCAGGAAACTTCATTTGAGGCTTTGTAAAGTATGCTGTAGGGCTGGGTCATGGGGAGAAGGAAGAAAAAAAGCATTAGATGTGGCCCAGGGTAAGTGGACAAGACCGTGCCTGTGCACCGGCTGTCAGCACAAATGCTGCGTTCTGTCCAGGTGCTCCTCCGAGACTGGGAGCTATCACCGTACTGGGAACAAGTAATGGCTTACCCAGTAACCTGGGTTAGTGCTCAAAACTGGGAGGAAGAAGGAATGGAGAAACAAAAGAAGCAGAATAATGGCATATCCTTTTACTCCTCCCAGCCTGTTTTTATCCATGGCTTACACCAGTACTAGCACACACTGTCATTGAAAGCAAACTGGAAAGGATCTGTATACAGACTGCAAAAACAGCCCTGTGCATAACCTTTTGCAAGCTTCTCCTTACTTGTATAAGCCTAAAAATCAACAGGTGCAAGAAAGGTCTGAATTACAGCAGTGGTAGACAGGCCAGAAATCAAAAGGCATTTCTATAGCCAAGTGTTTTGGAGATACAGCCATATTACATTGGAGATACAGCATTACATTAACATCTGTGCTAAATACAAACCATAGCTCACATGTCGTATTTTCTTCTGCAACACCTTTGATTTCTCTTAAAAGTTTTTTCTCAAGAAGTTGTAAGTACTATGTAGGTTCTGTCCGGCACTGATAATCTGCAGCTTTCAGCAGTTGAGGATGCAGCCGTAAAGAGCTACTGCTGGGCTACTGCACTCATAAATGCTGCATTTATAAGTAAACAGGACCTGGACAATTGGATGGGAGATGACAAAGGACCAAATACAGAAGAGGTGAAGCCCCCCATCCTTCCCAAAGAAGGGTCATTTGTGATCAGATCTTAACACTGCTTGCAGTCCACACCAGCATAGTGACATAGGGAAGAAGGGGAGAGAAGAAGGGCAGGGGATGCACTCCCACGCACCTTCAGGCTCGCTGTCGGATGCGCTGCCGTAGTTGGCGGACAACGAACTCAGGGCAGAGGTGACCTGCTTGGGAACAACAGTCAATCCCAGCTTCCCCTCTTCAGGCACTGCTTCGTCCTTGTCAGATTCTGCAGGGAGAGAAAAGTCAAGTGAAATTTTTCCCAATATTCCTGCGTGCCAACAGCCAGCCTTGCTGCTAAATCCCCATCTCACCACTACACAAGATGGATGTTGAGCACCATTGTTCAACACTGTGGACTGATAAAAAAACCCCACACTTGCCTACCCTCTGCAGACATTCAGTGGCAAAGTAATCTCACCACTGGTTTACAGTCCTGCCAGCAAAGCTACAGAAGCAAAAAAAAAAAAGTTTCCTGAACAAGAGCTTAGGCTTTCTGGTTCTTTCTTCACCTACCAAACATAATTATAGGTTTTATTATCAAGTCTAGGTAAAGAGAGAGAGAGGATTTCATAATATGTTTTGAAGTCTTGCTGGATTTAGTCCTGCGGAGGTGTAGGGTGGGGGAAAAGGATTCAAAAGCCAGTTGGGGGTGGGGGGAGAATTAGGCTCAAAGTGAGAATATAAGAGCAAATAAATTTTTGGATAGTAAAAAAGCTCATAAGGGACACTGAAAACCAAGGCTACATATTAGATGATTGGTATTCAGCAGTACTTCAAACCATTTGATACTTCAATCCCCACAGAGCATTACAGACATGCACAAGTAAGCGAGGTATTACAGTCTCGCACTGCTCCAAAAGAGAATACCGGGAAGACAGGAAGCAAGCAGATGAAAAATGCTGAAATTGAGGATACTAGGAACACAGAGCCCTACCAGAAAAAGATTCCTAAAAATAAACATGCAAAATTGTGATGGCTTTAGTTTGAAACAAAGGATCTAAATGCATTAAAATCTTGGAAAGACTCTCAGATGAACAGTGCTAGAGCTAGAAGGAAAATTAGGAAGGGCTTTTCAGTAATATATCTGCATACAGATTTCATATATACACACACACACTACTAGAAACATTTTGCAAACCTAGTAGCCTCTTGAGACTCCTAGAAAAAGACTGGTTGCAATCATACTTTTAACAAAGAAAGAGTTGTGCCCTCTCTCCCAACCCCTGTCTGTCTAAGCCTGTCCCACAGGAAAGCTGCCTCATGCTTCTTAAGAAGATTTTACTGAAATAAACACTTTTGAGATCTTTTTTTGAAATAACAAATGTTGCTCTATTCTCTTCTAATATATCATTAACAATTGGCAATTTGATTCATTGAAGCTCGTGCTGTTTGGTAAAACAACTTTTAGACAAATATGCAGGTATTTATCTAAATTATTTACCTGTCTTTTTAATTTGAGGTCTTTTTGAGAAAAGTTGATTCTCACTGGTTTAGTAATCATGCCAATTTTCAATTACATTGGAAGCTCATGTAATGATCAGTGCATTTTTCTAATGGAGAATACATAGCATCTGCATATACTTAAGCAATTATAAAAACTGCATTTACTCCAAGTTATTTTGATTCGTTACTGCTTTTTTCTATCTCATCCAAAATGTTGAGTGCATACTGAGGGTGCGTGCCTCTTCTTTTTATTTTCTTTAAATTTTTAAGAATTACTTTTAATTTGCTTTTTAGCAAATTAGGAAAACACGTTTACTGGGATACATTTTTTCTTTGAGTAACCCGTTTGGAGGAAGCATTATGCGCTACAGAATAGAACCGGCTGTTTCTGATCAGTAGATCCTTCAACATTTTACACCTGACAGACGCATCATCTTACCTTGTTTCTACTTATAAATCAAAAGGAAAATTCTGTTTTCTCATTGCCTATTAAATTTCTTAGCTTTGAAGGAACTAGCCACTAAACAGAACTAAGGGAACGCATTATGCAAAAAATACATTCCCTCTAGAGCGGGCTGCTGCTGTTAGAAAGGTTTAAATACTCAGCAAAATGTACCTATACAGTAAAATCATGGACTTCAGGTGTATGATTTTTTTTTTTCATTCTACTTAGTTATACTGTGTGTGTTATTACTTGTTATGACTATATTTCTCAATAGTATGAAAAACTGCAACTGGTTTTAATAATGTGTTATAAGCAAGTACCACATTCCTTTTCTACCTATTACAACAGAAGTTAGCTGTACTTTGATGTAATTAGACTTTTTATCATTAAGTAAAACACAGATGCTGAGGGGAAATAGAGTTATATTTAAGCATACTTAGGTTTCCCAACACGCAGAGATTAGTGGAATAAACAAATTGCACAGGGATGCTGTGTTCTTGTTCCCACTAATTGAAGATTATGTTTTCAAGAGGAAAAACTCAGCGTAAGACATCTTTCCAGGGGATGCATTCTAGCCTTGCTGCTAAAAATAGCTAGACTAAGTCAGCTTACATGCCGTATTCTAAGAGTACTGCATTGCTGCTGACTACATTATAAATAGCCATATCTGGAGAGTTTATACTGCTGCCAGCATGTGGAAACAAAACATGCTCACCAAAAAAAACTAAGCAGCTATACTTCAGAAAACACCCACATATGGAGAATATAAAGAGTAAATTAGATAATATAGCAGAAACTAGATTTAAAAGACAAATGCTGACATTTTAAATAATTCCCTTAACTCATACAAGGAAATCCATTTGTTTTCACATTCTAAATACTGTTATTTCAAAACAAAAAAGGGATATTTAATAGTCTTTAAAAATAATTTGATTGTCTAAGTACTTTATTCTTCTTCTGGCTTTATAAAGATTTTCTTATTTTACATGTTTAGCAACCTAAGTTGGTGCATGTCCTTTAGGCTATCACACAGTATTTATGGCAGAACACGTAATATTGCACACAAACTTTTTGACCAGTAAACAAAAGTTTCAGCATCTAAACATAACACTACTCAGATGCTATTCCTTTCCTCTCCTCTTCCTAAATTACTACAGCACCAATTCCTTATGGCTCAAACCACTTTCCCTTTGCTGCCTTTCCCAGCCAAGCGTTTTGGACAAAAACCCGTTCCTAATCAGGAGAATACAGGTAAAACAAGATCATTACGGTAAAGTACCGGTTAAAACAAAGATATAATTGAGGTGCTCCATTAAGAGCCCAGAAACCCTCTTAAGTTTGTTAGCTAAATATTGATTTAAAGCAAGTAATGTATTTTAAAACATACAAAGCTAAAACAAGTAATATCCAGCGTGGATATTTTTCAAATCCAAGACATTCCTATGTCCTCTCTCCCAACCTCTTCTCCTCTTCAGATTAAGCATTTTGTTTTATGATACAGAATAAATTTAATGCTTCCTAATTCTCACAGAAAAATCAGAAAGACATAGAAGTAGTCTGCTAGATCTTCCCTGTGTGTTTATAATACGATCAACTTGGCTTACAAGCAAACTTATTTAGAAGTGCTTCATGCTAGTAGTACCTTCAACATTCTTGTGTCAGCCTTTCCAAATCAGATTTTCCTCCTCTTCAATGACTTTGTATTTCAGCTTCTTTCCAAACTGTATCTCAGCCAAGTCTACTAGTTTTAGCTACTACCAGCACATGTGGACATGAATTCAGTCCAACACACACACGTATCTCAAAGACTTCTAGACTACTAAGTTTCCTCCGTAACAGGCCAACCCTACTAGGCCAGAAGCTCTCCGAAATGCAAGATTTACCCCATTTCCTTTAGATAAACCACTAACCCACATTTCACAATAATCACACTGGAAATTTTCTTAGAAGACCATGTCCTAAATCAGGATTTCTCTCTACAGAAATTTCTATTTAAAAGGAATTTCTAAGTTCAAGTTTTAGTCGCATGGATGTTGGACTACCTTTAAGCTTTAAGACCTTGTTGACCCCACTGTAGCCACAGTAAAGCAATCCTGGGCTTTTTTTGGTTCGTAACAATGAGAAGACGATAACAGGCTCCCCAGTATTCCTCTCCAAGCATACTATAAAGCCTTGCATCAATCTTCTACTAAGAGAAAGTTATCCCATTTTAAACATTCCTAGTTATCCCTCTTTCAACCAAGGACAGAGTTTACGTGTTTTTCTAAATCCCCAGTTCCCCCCAGAAGTTTCTAGTTCCACAAAAGTTCAGTAATCTTTTCAGCAGCACTACTTAAAACAAAAATTCTCCAAGTTCCTTCATCTTACCAATGTCATTGTTTGCCAGAAGACTAAGAGGGTCCATGTCCTTCGTGCATGGCTGAGCTGCCAAAGCACACTGTTTTTCATGTTCCTTTTCACACATGCTGTTTTCTGGTTCGTTGGCTTCATTTTGAGTTCTATGTACATTATAATCATCATTATTTTTCCTAAATTTCTTCCAGAAAGGGCGCCTTTGCCTTCTCTTCTGTCTTCCTTGCTGCCCAAACCTCTCTCCATTTTCTGGAGGTTTCCACATTCCCTTCATTTTGCTGGAGAATAGAAACACAAAGTTCATACAAATGACAAGCTATGAGAATAAAATCAACTGACATAACCAAACAGTTCAGGCCCACATTTAGGGTTCAGCAACACAGCATGATTCCAGGGCTTACTCCAGCTCAGCTAACATGCTGTGACAGACCAGACAGGTAGTCACAGCTCATCTCATTGGCAGGGCAGTGACACCAAGCTGGAACCGAAATGAAGAGTCTGAAGTTCGTAAGTTTTATCTTTTGACAAGGCAATGGGTACGAGGACTAAGCAAGTTTCTTGATCATCTGCAGTGTGAGGACATAGTTTTCATTTCACCTTACAAAGCCAATGAATATCCCCTATGCTTAATCAGTGAAGTCATTTAAAAACAGGGGGAACATGGAATTAAAAGGAATCATCTATACAGCTATAAGCAAACTTCCACTGCTGAAGTCTCCTTCTTCCAGTTACAGCTCAGAGAAGGATCTTGCTGCACTAAATCCATTCAGCCATCTCACACCATCAATTGCAATAACTGCCTACTCCTGCCTCCAGCTAACATGACATTCATCTTTTTCATAACTTGACATCCATCTTCCACGTTATCCTATAAACACAAAACATGTTTATAGGAAGGTACCTGGAGAGCCTAACAAACTCTCGTCAAAGTCTACAGGTACAAGAAGAGGTGTGACCCAGACAGAAAAGCAGTTATAGAAGTGACAACATAAGCTTCCTGAAACAATTCAGCAAAACAAGACTGCAGCTAATCATCAGTACATAACAACCACAAAAGACATATAAGATCTACAGTCTTGAATGAGCCCCATGGTTCGTTTTACTCTGTACTCTCTCCCTTAGCCTCACTTACAGCATGGCAGAGGTGCTGTTATTCCTAGTCAATCATGTAATATCATACTTGGGCAAGAGCTCCTTCCTGAAACTGCTCCCTGGGTCTAGAGTCATGCACCTGCATGCAGAGTCTCATATGTATATTACTACCCTGGAACCTTGTCACTGACAAGCAGACAGTGGAACATGTGAGGAATAGAAAAAAGAGCATAAAAACCAGGGCGAATGGTCACCTTTCTCATTGCCTACTTTTCAGCAGTGTACCACTTAGAGACGCTCTCTGACTACTCTTCCCAAGACACTGAAGGTTTTGTGTCTCACGCTGTGGGATGCTGCGTGAATGTCTGGCATCCCTGAAATCTTGCAGGAAGGCATTAATATTTTGTGAAAAAGGACTTCTTTTGGTTTGACTTCATTCTGATGTCTAAAATGGTCATTTGGTGCCTCCATCCTTCTTGAGTTACAAGAAACTGTGTATAACTGCATTCTAGTCACCTCTTACCACCTATGCAATTTTTCTAGACCTCCATCATACAGTCCTTCCAAGCCACCCAACTTCTTTGCTTGTACAGAAACGTTCCCATTACCAACATTCCTCTCTTCCATACCTTTCTAGCCTAATTAAGTCCTTCTTGAGAGGAGAACAGGGCCTGCAATAACATTCAAAATGGCTTTACATCACAACAAAACATACTTCATTTCATTCTCCAGTCGTTTCATGACAGTGTCTAACACTGATTGCTCAGTGCCGATAACATCATCCACCACAGTGCTCCTGTGGCACAAGAGGCAAGCCACCACCTTCCTGTGCATCAGTCTCTCATCCTCAAAAGGAGGCTAATATTAGGTCCCATAATTTAACTCCTATCTCGACAGAGAACTACATTTCTGAATTTGTACAACCAGGCTCTAAATTCAGAATGTTGTATAACCTAGAAGATATTGAGCAAATATAGGCTCAATTAGAGGTGTTGTCCTTGACCAAGGGTTAAAAACAACATCCTGATTTCCCTGGGGCCTCAAACAGCCAGAAAGAAACCCCAAGGTCACAAACATATCCCAACAAACATCAGCCTGGCACCTGCCTTCCCCTCATGAAAGATGTACTCTTCACTTCCCATTCAGAGGGGATAAAGAGCCATGCGCTATTAATCAGCTGTTGCAAGACACCACACAGACTGCCAAAGTGGTCCTTCTGCATCTCTAATCTCACAGGCGGGGATGCTGAGAATTAGCAGTTGTAAAGCACTTCAGAGAACCACAAATGGAAAGCGCCATAGAAGTGTTAAGTATCTAATCCCTTCTAAATCTTGCTTAGCTATTTGCTTTAATAGTACAGCTTGCAGAGAACAAGCTGTATTCTATTTTTGCCTCATGCATCAGTAAATTTGCCTGATAAGCACTAATTCCAGAATCTTTATTGTTGATATACATAGCAGAAACAACAGCTTTTTGGACAGTTCATCAAGTCTATAGTGCTAGCAGTTCAGGGAAGGGAGAGGAAAAAAGAATAGAATTTCTAAAACCAACAAGAGTTAAAAGTCACTAAGTGAAATCAAAGAGCAAACAACCATGAGTTTTGAGGGCTTTGTTTTTCCCCAAAAAATGTTCCAGGTATAAAATTACTAACACATGTAATAGATAAGTATGGAATTGCTGATGGACATTTAAGACTACACAATATACCCAACTCGCAGCCGCAACAGTTACCGAATAAACCTGTAGACACCAAAGAGTTTGTTACTGTGACAAGCAAAACTCATCTTTGCTGGTAAGAACCTCCAAACATAATTCTGTATGTTTGCGGCTTTAGTCTCAATGCCCACGTTTGGTTCTTCGGGTCCAAAGCACTTCTGCAACTTTATATCTTTCGAAGGAAGTTTGTACTTTAGTCTTTTATGAACCTTTCCTTCCAAAGTCACAAAATGCAACTGGGTGGAAGGGGTGGGTAAATGTTGGGTCAGCACATGGTGCACCAAAGTAATTTGCACTGTCACTGTTGAACAAATCGCATTAGCCTGGCCTGAACCCTATTTTGCACTAGTTCAACCACATTACCATGATGCAAGTTTTATTTTGCTTAGTGTTCCCTATTTAAAAAAAAAAAAAAGCAGACAAGCTCCACTCTCACTTCCATGCAGCATCGTGTGATTTAGCAAGAGCCCCATAGAAGTGGGTCTTCTCCTGCATTCCAACTCAGTCATTTCCATTTGAACAAGTGTTATTCTGGGGGCATGGATCATTATAACACTTCTTAAGTCTTCCCACAAGGCCCTAAAGTAGAGCTAATGAAGTTAGCTGGTTCCACATAACACTGACACTGCAGGAAGGCAAAAAGAAAAAAGATCATATGGGAAAGTAATTCACAATGTAAGGGAGAGAACAGCTAAAAACCCAACAAGATTAAGTATTAGACCCAGAACAAAGGTAGCAGATAGATAGATGATGGAGGGTAGAAGAAAGAAGTAGCACTACTTAAGCTATGAAAATAAAGTTAAATCAATAATCAAGTGAAGAGGGAAGGAATATTTATCATCTGAAAGGAGAGAGTAAGAAGCCAAATCCACTCATAAAATCTCTCTTGGCCATCTCCAGGCATTAAAGGATTAGACCATGTGGATTTATTATGTTGCATGACTTCCGTCCCCATTATTTCTTATTCAGAGACCCAGGTTATGCTGATTTAATGAATGGCCACTAAAATGTGGTTTTCTCAAACAAGCCAGAGTGCAGAATTCAGCACAAAACCTCAGATTTCTAATACAATTATTGTTTAATTTAACTGAAGTGGACTTTGAAGCACTGTAAACAAAGGAGCACTACATCTGCAGTTTGTCAAATGACCTGTCCTCTGTTAAAGGGCAGCTAGATCATGTGTACTGTAAAGGCACTAAGTGCTGGGACACCACAGTAAGAGAGCATACTTCTGAACTCATTAGGGGGAAAGTAACAAGTTTGTTTCAAACCACTTACCCGAACTGTTGGGTAGTCAGCACTTCCCCCCTTTCTTCCTTCTGCATCTGCACCGCCTTCTTCCTTTCAATGTTTGCCGATGTAGGAAAATTTCTAGAAGAAAAAAAATTTACAACACCACTGATTCTTAAATGATTAAGTGTACTTTGTCAATTCACCCTTTACCAAACCAGCAACCTCTAAAAACATAATAGATTTTTGAAACATTTCATGTTAGTTTAACAGACTGTTTCCTCCTTAAAAAGGGAAGAAACCTGAGTGCATTTATGCTTACATACTCAGACAAAAAAAAAAAAAACCACTACTAAATTGGCATCATTAGGTTTACCAAACCATCAAACAGGCTACTGAAAAACAGTCCAGTCATGCTTACGGACCCTCTGCCTGTCCCTACACATAACAGCACAATTTAGTCCTGCAGTGTTATTTTTCTGGTGCTTCAATTAGAGTACTTGAAGGATCTTAAAACGTACAACATGCCTTTAGCAAACCAACTGCTGAGTTCTTGTAATACAAAAAAAAGAAGTTATAAGAGCAGCTCCTGGGTGCACAAGATTCATTTAAAGTGATAGTTAAGGAAAAGCACACAAGTTTCCTCTCAAGTAATATTCAGTATTGTGCTTGCACACTGACCTCTATTTCACCAAAATTACTGCCCCTTTTTTCTTCCAGCTTCCAAGAAAAATTGCTAAGTCATGCAGATCAAAACAAATCCACTGTTACAACCATCTCCCAGACTCTCCCTCTCTTCCATTCTCCTCCTCCCTCCCCATCCTTCCCCGCAGACGAACGCCACGCTGGTTCCAACATGCAAGGCCTGCTGCAAATTACCGTCAAAGCCCAAAAATGGCTATGCTGGGTTGCTCTATAAACATTAGTTAGCTAAATCCCAGTGCTTTGAGATAAAGGTGGCAACTGGGAAACACACACGCACCCCCACCAGCTTCTGGACAGAAATGCAAAATATAAATATTTGATAAGTCTATTAAAACGGAGTAACGACAAACAGCTACTCACTATATATAGCTATCAAAAAGGACACGTATCTTTCTTTAAATATTTAATCTTATCACATGCATCTTCCCTCTTTTACAACATGAATGTTAAGCGTCACACTGATGCAAGACAGCTTCAACTACATACCAAGGGAAAAAGACGAGAAGCATTTCCTATGAGACACACCTAAACACATTACAAAATTTGTCCTGTTTAAGAGGACTTGAACATGAGCTGTCAATGACTATTTTCATTGGATTTCTCCCAGAAATCTGCCATACAGCTCAAGTAAGCATAGGGACGTGATGTTTTATCTCCACTCTTCCCCCATCAGCTACATTTATTCATCCATGTTGTAACAGTCCGAGCACACACCAAGCGTGCAATGAATTATTTAGTCTCAAGAGCTTCACATTGACAGAGACCCCTGTGCTCGGCACCTCTCCACAGTTTTAGGATAAGGTGATTTCCTTCACATGACTAGGGCTCACAGGAGGGGAGAGAGCTATAAAATAAATAGTTATGCTCGAAAGAGCCCCAAGCTTGTTATAGAAATTTCTTTTAAAAGAAACAAACGTAAGGGAAGACCCTTAATCCTGGAGCAAAGAAGTCTTCAAAGTGCTCCTGTAGTTATGCTGATTAAGGACATATTCAGACACGCTCTCACAACATGATTTGAGACGTGACTGCCTCCCACTTTCATTCCTATGAGTTACCACTCCCTCCACCAAGCCACCGTAATGGACTCCACGAATGCTTTCAGTTCGATTTCTTGCCAAGACAGACAGATTTCTCTTACACCACCCTTCCAGTTGACACAAGCAGTAACTAACAGCTAAAGAGAGCTCAAGTCATAAGTCCAAGTATGCCTCCAAAAGCACATCTGAAGGCACCCATAGTGGCTGTGTCTATTTTCTCCAGCTCTTCTCAAACGTTACATAGCATTTTATCCACTGCCTTTACTTTGTGCAGAAAATATATCTATTTTGACAGCACATGTGCAGTGTGTTTCATTTCATTCAGAATGGGCAAATGAGCATCTGCTAGTTTATTCTTTCAGCTTAGGACTTGGTAGGCAGTAAGCTCTAGACATTCAAGTCCGCAGGTCACCAGCCTCAGTACAAGGTAGATTGGGTTCACTCCTCCCCACGTGCTCTGCTGTGCGATGATGAGGCTGGGCTAAGCTCACCAGTGGGTCTTGGTGGGACCTGGACAAGTCAACCCCAGTTGTCCCTACAAGGAGCAAGTGGACCAAAGAGGCACGGACCAAGGCTACCCACCCACCCCAACGTACAGACAGCTTCATCAGTCACCACAAAGGCTTTAGGAACCTAAGCATTTACTGTAAGAGAGGGAGTTAAACCGGGATGTGATAGTCTGGTACAGCAGATTTCATGAAGGAGCCAGTACTGCCCAAGAAGGAAGCCCCATTTCATAGCAGCTGCAGCTTCTAGCTGTAGACACTTCTATAACCCAAACTGTAAGTTTTTCAGTATAAATTGTTAGGATAGCCTGAAAACCAGTTTTCTGGTGTTAAGATGAGTAAATTACATATACACCAATGAAGTGTCATGCAGGTAAAGGATACCCTAAGCTTCCAGAGACAGGCAATGGTGACACTGAGCATATTCACCAAGATGTGTGCCTTAATGAATTACTGAATACATTTTTTTTCCCCAATAAATGAGTGCACTAGCCAGAGTCATACATGTTTTATAGGCCAGCATACTCTATCTTGCTTACATAAACATCAGACTAAACTAGCTCTTAGCAAGCCGTGGAAACAGAGCTCTGCCAATGTCTGTTTCTATAGCAGTTTTACACAATTAATTTCTGAGTCGAGAGCTATACAAGTTTATCATCTTTATAGGTACAGCACTATGATCAACTTGTCTCAATAATTTCTTGAGCTGGTCTTGACTGCATATGCACAACCAACAGCAAAGGGGACATGGATAGTCCAAAGGGAACGAAGATGGCCCAACAGAGAGCTGATAAAATCTTGGTTTCAGACTCTCAGGCATTTTATCAGGCATTGCATCTCTAGTGTGATTTTACTATATGCTGAGGCAGTTTTATTGTTAATCCTGCAGTTCAGAGTCAACTTTATTGTATCTATGTTTACCTTGATCTACCAACACATTCCTTCTACTTTGCTTCATCTTCTCTAATTTTAGCAGGTGCTAAGAAACTATTTTATTTATTACATACTTAACTACTATGAATGCAACATCAGGGAGGATTCCAAGCTACTCTAGGATTATCATTATTCAACTAGAGAACCACAAATTAATTACAGGTGGTGTGGTTGACAGTACTGGCCTTCATTAAGCACATGCTCAGCCTGTGAGATGTATTCCAAGAAATACAGCAGTCAATCCCTAACTGAACAAAAAACTCCTAAAAGATTAAAGAAACAGGGAGAGGAGGGCAAGAATTTACAAGGAACACACAAGATCAAGAAAATCCTCCAATGTTATATTAGGATCTGAGAAAAAGTAAGTTTACCAATTCACTTTAACACCAGAGCAGCCTTGCAACATGATTTCTAATAACCTTTGCTAAAGAAGAGTTGGTTAGAAACAGAGGGGCTAGCAGGACCCAGATCTCACTTGGGAAGACAGCAATACATTCTAACACATTAAGGAAATTCACTGTGGATAATTCCCTTTAAGCTTGTGTTTAAGAAAAAATATGCTGAAAACTGCACATTTCTCAACACTTGGAAGGGACAGGACAAATCAAAAAAAGAAAAGTAACTGTAACCACCAAAGTTGATGTCAGACTTCACAACCATCTGTCCACAAAACATAGGGAAACCCCGAGATCCAGTGGAACTTTATCTCTATTGCTGTTCGCTTAATTGGATTGCCTGGCTCAGCAGGTTCAACAGGCCACAAACCATTAGAGTGTCTTTTAGGTAAGCAGAGACATGAAGGCTGCAGCAATGAACAGGGCATTGTACAGAATCAGACAGGAAAACTGCATTCCAACCCAGCATACTTCATCCAGAGATACTCGTGCCATACCAGCTCTCCCCCTTCTCTTCCCTCTGTAAGACTGCACTTCAAACACAGGCTCTTTCTAAAAGGTTTTAAGCAGGATACACAACTGAGCAACACAGCAGCTAATTAAGAAGAAAAATCTCAACTCTGTAAGTAATTATTTATAGCAGCTGAAAGAAAAAGCAAGACAGGAATGTTAGGGATGCAGCATGGAAACACACATGTTAAATCACTGCAATCTAATTAGAAACAAACCACTAACAACCTAAAAAGATTCATTCTTAGCTCTGACTGGAGCTTTTAGAAAGGAAAAGGCTTTTTCCTGTTACCATGAACCAAAACTGCCTAATAGCTCAGACTCCCTCTGGTGTCCTTTTTTTCTGTACAATGCAATGTTTACTGTGAGTCAACAACAGACCTTCAGTATTAAACTGATGCTTTGCTGGCAACCCAGTTAATGCTTCACAAAGGTTTCAGCTGGATTTCTCTTTTTTTTAATTTTTAATTAAAAAAAAAAAACAAAGTATGTTAGTACAGCTTCCTTGCTGTACAAAGAGTAGCAAAAGCCACCTGGGTAGTCATTCTACACCCATCCATTATAGCTAAACAACATGCCTACAGAAAGACTGAAGTACAAAATAAACCACAGCACTACTCCATCTAGCGGCCTTGGTTTAGAAGGTCCTAATCCCATATTGCCTTTTTTGGTTGGTGGATGTGACTACAAGACTTTATTTCCATTGATTTTACTGTACTGCAGTGAACAAAGGCTTTCAGCAATGTTGTACCACAGCCAAATTCTATTAATCTGTAAAAAATCAACAGTATCCACCATGAGATTCTCTAGAAACTCAGCAAAAACAACCTCAGGCAGAGTATCATCCTTACAATTAACTATAGATAAATGCTGCTTTGACTTGCAGCACCCATTCCTCAAGCAAACAGTATCTAAAACGTGATTGAACATTCAAATCCTGCTTCCCTAATGTTCTAGTATACAGTAGAGCACATACTGACATACACATCTCAAACATCATTTCCACACTTAAACCTTAGCATCAGCCACTAGACAGGAACTTGCCCAAACGCCTACCAAAACAGAAAAGTGTATGAAAAGCTGCAAATGAGTATCAGAGACTCTGCACACAAGTATTGATGTTTTTCCTTGGAGCTACTGTTAGAAAATTAAGTGTAGGCCACCAGACAGACAAATCTAAGGACATTTTGGGTTATGCTAGCCCTGTTAGCACTTCATATTGTAAGTAATAAAGACATGGTTAAGTATCACCACTGGGGGAACAAAAAAAACACCACAAAAAAAGGACAGCAATATATAGACTGAAAGCAAATAAAAACCAATCCCTCAAGTATATTTTGAGTAACAGGAAACCTTGGAACCAAAGCTAATCTAACACCAAACTTGTACTTCCACAAGATCACAAGCAATTTTTGTCTGGTTGACTATGGAATTTTAAACATGGGAGAAAATAAACTTTTCTTTTGTTTTTGTTTCTGTATCGACAAGAGCCATTTTTAAAAAGAGGAATCTACAGATTATCTTCATTTGTAAAAAATGAAGAGCAGGTGCAAGAGTTGACTGCTGTGATGTGCTGACATAGTGATAAGAGTTCCCTTTGCCTCTCTCAAATTTGCAGAAAAAGCTGAAACCATGTCCAAAGAGAAGTTAAAACTTTCAGGGATGAACTTACATGGGGAGAAATTTTGCTTCTCAATACAGCAAAATGTGATAGGAGATGATAAAATAAAAAAACTCCTACCATACATTCGATCCATTTTTCTTTTTTTTTTACAAAGCCACTGTGAAAAAACTTAAGTGAATTCAGGTTCAAAGCAAGAATGCATTAACATTGCTTTCTGACATAAATGCAGGCTGGATTCATCAGACAACTGGGTTTATTTTCAATTAAAAAAACCCCAAAACACCAAAAACAGGCAACTAGTATACTGTCCTAGCTCACCACATCTTGAAATTAAATTTTTTTATCACATCCCACTCGGCATATAGCAATGTCACTCACAGAAACAAAAACCATGTACTGATCACTCACAAGACTATATTCTAAGTCAGGAACAGAAGTGAGGAAAGCCTGCAGCATCCTTCACCTGCTGGAAAAGGGTAGATTTTAATCTGCTCAACTCTGAGGAAAAAAAAATAATCAGTGGGATAAGGTCTACAAAAGTACAGTGTAAATTTGTAAACACTTCAATGCTGGTCAACAAAAAAAAAAGTTGTACCACCTCACATCACAGAAGGAGAAATACTGCTTACATGGAAACTTTACCTTGCACCCTAGGTCCAATGTGAGTTAGACTACGTGAGACAGCATCCTTCATGGATTCTCTTCTCTTTCAGTAGGAAAGTGTCAAGCAATGCAGCAAGTTCTTAGAAATTAGGAAAACTCCCTTTTGGGGTCTACTGGGACAACTTAAGGTGCGGAAGTTTGCACACAGCAGGATGCATTACAATTATAGTCAGTACAATAGTTTGTACAGGTTTCTTAGCTATTAAAAAACCACCAAGAAAAACCATGCATTTCCGACCTAAAATGTCTCCATAATCAGCCTAAAAAGAATGAGTCATTCACCCAACCCAGGGTACCAAATCAAACATCTGGGAAAGGTATTTGCTTCTCAGTTGATATCTTGCCTTCTATTATAATCATCCAAATGATTACAGTCTCTGCAGCTTGCATGCTCCTGGCTCAGGCCTTCCGACACAAACCACTACCACAGCAGCTTTGCAGAGCCAAAGGAACAGCAGCAGCAAGCACACGCTGCTGCTGCTGCTGCCTTTCAGCTGTCATCTAATGATCACACAGGGAAAAAAAAAACAGTAAAACAAATTCATAGGTCACAAGTCTTACTCACTTTTTTCTTTCTTCTCTCCATCTAGCAATCTCTTCTGGACTATCTAATTTTATTCTTTTAGCACCAGGTGCATGTGCCTAAGGAAAAAAAGTATTTCATAGGTGTTTAAAAGGTGAAGGAAAAAACCCACATGGAAAGGAAAAAAAAAAGCATCATTCCGTCAGCTATAATAGTATCATATACTATTTTCATCCCCAAAAATGTTGAGACCACACACAGCGATTACAAAATGAATCCATTAAAAAAACCCACCATAGTATTCAATATATTTTCATCCACAATATTGTCTTACAATAGATTCTACTCAGGTGATATGGTGATATGTTTTCCTTCCAGAAGGATGAAAGCAAGCATCTGAAGAATGGGCAAGGGGACTACAGTAAAGATTGCATAGACTCATATTTTGGGCCCAGAAAGATACCTACATTCTTCCAGTGTATCTGCACTATCTTCTCATGTGCGCTGAAATTGCAACCTTCTTCTGTGCACTGCAAGACAAGGGGATAAACTTAAGACACACCAAGTTGAACAAACAAATCATAAACAAGCATTCGAGCACACTTCAAACAAACTCAGTGGCAAATGCCTGTACAATTAGTTATACAGAACCCTTAAGCTACCCAGTTTCAAAACAAATGTGATTGTAAACACAGTAAAAAGGAATAATGTACTTTTAAATTTCATCTCATTTTAGAATAACCAGTGAAGCCAGCATATCTGATAATTGGAGATAACGTAAAGTTAACCTAAGAGTAAGATTTGCAAGACCCCTAATTTCAAATTTTGACACTTCTTTGCAGTAAAGGAGTAGATTTTTTAAAATAAGTTTTCAACATAGTCTTTTCACATAAAAATTTTACATGCTATACTGATGTCAATGAATTAATTCCTACCACTGGGGTGACCTAGCAACACTTCACAATAAAGACATTAAAATTACTTCAACAATTAAAAAAAAAATACAACTGAGACCTCCCTTACACACAGCGTTCAGAAAAAATACCCTACTAACACTTTTTGTAGCTCTGGAATCTCTTCACTAAGTCTTCCATTCAAAAAGTGAGTACAGCTAACTACTTATCAGGCATAAAGTTAAAAATCGAAGTGTAAATAAAACAATCCAAACTCATCAACCTGTTTATGTTGTGAAATATGTTCATCATACTTCTCCTGGTTTTTATAGCCACGGTCACAGGTATCACAATAATGAGAGAAAACTGGCTCCTTTTTCTTTTTGGTCTGGGGGGAAGAAAAAAAAAAGACAACATCATCTCAAGATTGCAGTTACAAGATAGTCCCATTTTTAATTAGGTGTAAAACACCTTCATAGAATCTTTGGGTTGGAAGGGACCTCTAAAGGTTGTGACCTCTAGAGGTCATCTAGTCCAACCCCCTGCAATGAACAGGGACATCTTCAACTAGATCACCTTACTCAAGAGCCCCGTCCAACCTGACCTTGAACGTTGCCAGGGATGGGGCATCTACCACCTCTCTGGGCAACCTGTGCCAGTGCTTCACCACCCTCATAATAAAAAATTTCTTCCTTGTATCTAGTCTAGACCTACCCTCTTTTGGTTTAAAACCTACTGCAACAGGCCCTGCTAAAAAGTCTGTCCCCATCTTGCCTATAGGCCCCCTTTAAGTACTGAAAGGCTGCAGTAAGGTCTCCCCGGAGCCTTCTCTTCTCCAGGCTCAAAAACCCCAGCTTTCTCAGTTTTTCTTCACAGGAAAGGTGTCCCATCCCTCAGATCATTTTTGTGGCCCTCCTCTGGACCCACTCCAACATGTCCATGGCTTTCTTGTGCTAGTGACCCCAGTCAATACCTTTGGCTTGTTATTTTCTTCTGGAAAACGTTTACTGAACCCAGGCGCTTGCTCGCCTTGCCATTTCTGGGAAAAAGCGCCATTTGCACCTTCACAAAAGAAAAAAAAAAAAAGACCCAGTTATACATGCAGCTCGTAAAACACATCCCACGCTACCTCGGTTGGCCTGTTGTGGTGAGGAAGGGCCTGGGGGAGAGACAAGCCAGGGCTGCATAACCAGCACGGACACATGCTCGGAGGGAGGAGGAGTCCTCCGCCCCCCAAGGGTTAGGGACAGCCCCAGGGTCTCCACCGGTGAGGGACGGGAAGGAGTCCACGGGCCCGAGAGACGAATTCCCCTGCACCCCTCACCAGCGTGCGGGCCCTGCGGTCGTTCTGCGTAGGTCGGCGGGTCCCAGCCGGCGGGTGGCGCGTAGCTGTCAGGCGGCAGGTAGCTCTCGGCGGGCGGGTAACTCTCAGCGGGTGGCGGGTAGCTCTTGGGTTGCGGGCAGCTCTCGGGCTGCGAGGAGCTCTTGGCAGACTGCGAAAAGCTCTCGGCCGGCGGGTAGCTGTTGGGCGGCG